TTGCTGGGCCTGCACTGCCATGCTACTTCGGACCCTACTGAGACCACCACCAGCTGATCGACCCCTCTCAGCCTGATCACGGCACACGGAGCTGGACAACTGCCCCACTGAGTCCTCCGCAGCCTCAGCTGGACTCCCACACAGTGACTGTCCCCCCTCGGCACTCTCCACTATAAGCTGCTCCCTTCTCCCGAGGCTCCCTTCTTCCCACGTGGTAGGGCCCACTGCCAAGCTTGAGACCCTCCAACCACCCTCCTGTGGCCCCAGCGGCCTCGGCTAGACCCTGTCAGCAGTCTGCCTGCAGTAAATTCAGTCACCTGCAACTGCGGTGGCTCTTGCACCATTGCCTGGCCCCCACCCCCACCCCTGCAGCAGCGGCACCCTCCTCCCCACTTCCCCCACCTTCGCCCAGCACCCCCTCTCATGGCAGCGGGGCTTCTCCCATCCTTGTCCAGCATTCCCATGCACAGAGCTACACTCATTGCCTGCAACCGCAATGCCTGTGTGCCCTGAGAGGGCTGCCAGACCTGCCCTCCAAATAGGGATCCCAGCTGTCTAAGGAGAGTAAAACCCTAGTGAGATAAAGGAGTAGCCCGATCCCCCAGCGTACTTGGCTATAGGAAGCTGGCAGAATCATTCCTACCAGCCTCTCAAAGAGAGAGCCCAGGGTTCTTTGACTCCTTGGATAATGGTGCCAAGCTCCTCCAAAATGACATGCAGACAGCATCCACAACAACCTCAACGAAAAAACAGGAGAAACAAAACGCCTCGTCAGAGGAAGTCCTGAATCCAGTGATGTGCGTAAAACAAGCAGAAGTTGAGCTACCACAGAAAGAAATCTTCAGAATGCTGCTCGGATCCATACAGGATATGAGGGAAGCATTACCGGAAAAGGGTGAAACCATAGAGGAGATAAAGGCCACACACCGAAGGGAAACACGAGGGTTAAGGGACGAGGTAACAAAAGCAAATAACAAGCTAACAGGCTTTGCCAACAACGTAAAGAAGCTGAGAATAGTAGCAGTGACCTTGAGGATAACCAGACAGACTTCAACAAATGGGAAAGACTGTTGAAGAAGATAATCAAAGAGGCTGAAGAAGACCTGACAACAGTGTCAGCTGCTGGGAAGAGGAACAAAGTTAGAATCAATGGACTACAAGACACAACAAAGAAGGCGATGGCAAAAACAGCAAGGGAATTCCTAGAGGAAAACTTCCCCAGCTTAATGAGTGAGAATCAGGCAACCATCCAGGAAGCAGAGAGGGCACCAGCTAGACTGAAGATACAGCCTGGGGAGAGTGATGGGTCTGCCCAGACCACCACTTGGGAGCAAACTAAGAGGGAAGGAGGGAGGGAGGGAGGGAGGGAGGGAAGAAGAGTGAGTGAGAGAGAGACAGAGAGAGGGAGAGAACGAACCACATCCTGGCCCAACAAGCCTCAAGGACCACAATCCTGCTCAGAGCAGCCAATGCCCAAGAGGACTGTGGGGCTCGCCCCACCATGAGACATGACACCCCCTCACTGACCCACAGTGCTTCCTGGGACAACACTGGAGACACAGAGCGGGAATTGTGCCCAGTCTGACCCCCCACCCCCACCCCCACCCCACACATACGTGAACCATGAAGAGAGTGCAACAGAGCAGCAAGGGGAGCAAAGCAATGAAGTCCCCGAGGAATCCCAAAAATAGACTTCTGAATCGGTGGGCAGGGCTTGGCACTTCACCAGATCTGAGTGGAAAACAACCAGAAGGGTCAGCAGACAGACCTGGAACTACTTATAGGCTGTTTTCTTTTTCTCATGTCTATCCATATAAAAGGCAGTCAGGATAACCAATCCAGAGGAGAAAGTAATGGGGCCGATGGCTCCCAGGGGGCTTGTCATATGAGGAGAATCAGGTCCTGTACAGGGGCCGAGAGTAAGAGCCAGGGAATTAAAAGTCATTACAGTTAATGTCTCAGGATGGTGAGCTTTCAGGATGAAACATGAGTTACATCCATAACTTCATATGCTTTCCCCCCAGCCATATTGGTTAGGTTTCAGTCCTCAAAATAAAAGTACCAGGTTGTACATCTCTCCCTCACCCTTTTCACTTTTTCCTATTCCTGTTTCAGCTAGTATTTAGGTGGTATGACCCAAAATGATAAGGTTATATCTACCTGGCATGCCTTTCTTTTATTTTTAATCACACTGCCGGTTGCCAGTGAACCTTTCGCAAGGTTAGTGTGCCTGCCCATCTCACCCTCTACTCAGAACATTCCTGGGCCCCTTCCCCATGCACCCAGGCAAGTGAGCTCCGTCAAGTAAGATGGATAGAATGGACTGACGGTTGTAGGTGATGTGAATTTTATTTTCCACCAAAGTCTCCTTGTTGCTTAGGAAAAGCTCTATAAAATACATTTGTATTCCCTTTGGTATGAAGCATAAAATAAAATCAGGGGCCTTTTAGACTAGTTAAGAGCCTTTCAGACTTCTTTTCCAAAGTATCCTCCTTCAATAAACTCACTCTTCCTGTTCACAACTTTAAGAAAAATAATACCCAAAACTAAATAAAACCAGGGATACCCTTCATTTCTCCAGACTAGAGAAAACATGAAGGAAAAGTGCAGTGGAAAAAACTATTAGTGTTGGGGCAGTGTGTCTGTGTGAAGCTCTGTGCATGGTGGTGGGGTTGTCAGAGAAAAAGTGGAAGCCGTGATCTCTTAGGACTACATAAAACAAATTTTTGCCCTAGCAAGTAAATTTGGTGGATGACCCCAAATCCCCTCACTGCCATCATGTTGAGGCTGACTCACAGTGACCCTATAGTACAAGGTAGAACTTCCCCTGTGAATTTATGAGACTGTACCTCTTTATGTGAGTAAAAAGCCCTTTCTCCATTTGATGGGCTGGTGGTTTCGAACTGCTGACCTTGAAAATCACAGCCCAACTTGTAAGCACTTTGCCACCAGGGCTCCTCAATGTTTGACTAGACTGGGCAATTCAGAACCAATTACCTTTACTAATAGCTAAATCTGAATGACTTAAGGTGAGATGAATTTTCAGATAAACTAGAACACTCCTTTAGGCTGCATCACATATATTTTATTAAACCATTGACTCTCTTCAGGATTCCAAATTGTGCACACTAATGACTTCAAGTCTATACAACAAAATTTTAAATCCAGAAAATAACATGAGAGCCATGGTTATAGTAGTTGGAATTTTTACTTTTTAAAAAATCTTTCATTTCATAAAATCTTTCAGTAACTGAATGAAAAATGTTAACATACTGCTCAACTTAAAACCAAATCCAACAAATAAGCTTATTTTATAACTGAGAGGGTGGCTGATGGTGTCAGACCGGCTCAACTGACTATGTTAAGTTCAGCCTAACTCTGAGGAGAGTGGAGGCCCATTTGGTGTCTACCTAGAACACTCCAACCAAACCGAGTACAACATGAAGTCTGTGATTTTCAGAGTTACAAGAAGTATCTATATCCATTACACAATACCCAAAATTTGTAATGAAGGGGGAAAACAATGCTTCAGTATCAAAGCCATTTCTCAAGTTCTTTCAATACTCCCTCAACTATGAAGTCATTCACTGGTCTGATGTTTTACCTACCATCCCAAACCTGGGTTCATCAAAGCAGCTGCCACCCTACAGGGGAATTTACCTAGTAGTGGCTAGGAAAATGTTTCTTCTTATGATTGTTTGACAACAACAAAGCAACTCTCTCTCCTTTCACCTTTTGGGTTACACTTTATCCTGCTTCAAAGAACAGCACTGTTGGCACACTGTTTCATTACAGTCTCTTAAGAAATGTATTACTTGGACGTCTATGATATTTTGAATTATCCTTTGTAATTTTTCACATCCTGTATCACAGGTAAAGTGGGGTGAGGTGGCATTGAAGTCTACACTCCCCATTGGTCACCCAAAAGACCAGTACTGTGATTACCTGACTCTATTACATCTCCTAAAAGTCTCTCCTAGATTTGAACTCCTTTCTGCTATTTTTCTCTGCCCGTTTTTCTCCATCAATGTTAGCTGATAGGACAGTTGTGCTGGACAATCTAGACCAGTGGTTCTCAACCTTCCTAATGCCGTGAGCCTTTAATATAGTTCCTCATATGGTGATGACCCCCAACCATAAAATTATTTTCGTTGCTACTTCATAGCTGTAATTTTGCTAGTTATGAATCATAATGTAAATATCTGATATGCAGGATGTAGTTTCATTTTTACAAATTGAACATAATTAAAACATGGTGATTAATCACAAACAATAAGTAATTATGTTGTGTAATATTTATTTTTAATTACAAATAAGTGACATTTTGTTTTGAAGCCTGGTGTAGCATGGGTAACAATCTTCACGCAGGGTACTCATTTATGGGCATATCTGCATGTGGGCGGACCTGCCTGGAGACAGATAGAGGAGCAGTGTCTCTGTTCCTGAGACCATCTGAAATACGTGCTTTCTGATGGTCTCAGGCGACCCTGTAAAAGGGTCATTTGACCCCGCAAAGGGGCTGTGACCCACAGGTTGAGAACCGCTGGTCTAGACTGAGGATTGGCCACGCCACGGAGGAAGAGGGTGGAGGCAGATCCTGAGTCCTTTCCAGGCTTTGGTCCTTCGGTCTCCGAGGGACGCAGCACATCCAACCCACATGCCCAGAATCCAACAGGACTCCAGGAATGGAAAAGCATCTTGAAAGTGGGCCACACAGTTTCCGATTTGAAGCATCTGTCCCTTTTGTAGAAGCATATACCCCCCAAAATAAACAAAACAAACAAACAAACAAACAAAAGCTTATACCCAAGGTATCAAGATAGCACAGGGTAACAAACAGGAAGAGAGTGTGATTAAGGGAATGCCCTGGAATGAACTGCACCCAAGTGTTCAATTGGGAAATAGTTCCTTTCCCATCCCCTGGACTGACTCCCAAATCTGGTTCCTTCTCCAGAACTCCCTAGACGTCTACATGATTCCTCTAGCAATTCAAGAGTCAACATTTGGGGTCCTTCAGATCCCTCTACTTCAGTCCATGTTAAATATCTCACTATCCCTTTCCTGCCCATGGAGGAGGGGCTTCACACCCCTGCCTTCGTGCAGCACCTCTTTGAGCCCCTTCACCCAATTCCTCATCTCCTGCCTGGGCTATGGATGCTGATGGGAGGAGGCCAGTGGGGTCCAACCCCCTCTCGGCATCTTCATCTGCTTGCTCCATTTCTCTGTTCAGCTCATCCAGGACCTTCAACAGACTCAAGGCCTTAGGATCATCTTTATTCTGAAAAAGCCGCATTTTAGCAATTTTTTCCAGCTTGCCTTTCATCTTTTCTTTGGGCTTTGATCTCTTATTTATTTTAATGCCTTCTATAAAATGGTGGATGGCCTTTTCTTCACAATGCATTTGGTACAGTTGAAAGTTGCCATAGCGCAGGTGAAGGAGCTGCATCACCACAGGACTCAGCTCTCTGCGGAATTCTTTTTGGAAGTAGCAATCGGCTTCCTCATACTGACCTGCTTGTGCAAGGAGGCAGGCAAGAGAGGAGTAGATGTTGAGGAGATTCGCATTGAGCTTTTCTGCTTTCTTGAAATGGTCCACAGCTTGGTGTACGAGTTCCAGTAATTTCTCTTTTTCCCCAAACCTTTCATGCTGCATTTGCAAGACTTTTGCCCTGTGGCAGCACGCGATGTAGTAATGCACGTAGGCATTGTTTGGCATGCCATCTAAAGCTCTCCCAAGCATTTCTATAACTTTGTCCAAAGCACCTTTCTTTCGATAAAAGTTTGCGGCGCTGCGCAGCACATCTGTAGCATATGGGGCTTTCTCCACGGCTTCTTCCACTAAACTATCCCCTTTATCTTCTTCGTTCAGCTCTAGGAGTTTCAGAGCCAGGAGGACTTTAACATACTCATTGTCTGGATTCAGCTCCATGGCTTGCCGCAGGGCATCCACCGCGTTTTGCTGGGGTGGCCATTTATCCAGCCGGTAGTTCACGATTGCCAGTCCCGAGGTGAATTCTGGGTGTTGGGGTTTCTTTTCCAGAGCCTTCTCAAAACACACTTTAGCCCTTTCACCAAACTTTCCCCCAGACTTCAATCGGGTCCAGCCTTCCTCACACTCCAGCTCAGGACTTTCAAGTCTATAGGGGTTGGAAAACTTCTTGCAGACTTGTTTGACCTTATCTACGTAGAGCTGAGCTTCAGAGAGCCTGTCCATGTGATAGTAGACCCAGGCACAGTTTCCCCAGGTGACCAGACTTCTGATTTCGGCTCGGTCGGCGTGCTCTCGCTGGATGAACTCTTCCGCTTGCTGTAAGTATTGCAAGGCTGTCTCATTCTGGCCCCTGAGGTGTTTTAGGTAGGCCAATATGTTGCATGTGGTGGCCTTGAACTCACTGTTCTGGAACTCAATCTGATGACACACTCTGTTTTCGAAATCATCCAAAGACTCTTCTCCTTCCATCAAATTCCAGGTGAAGTGACATTTAAGTTGCCGGAGGCTGAGCTCCAAGGAACTCTTGGTGATCTCACTGGAGGGAAAACAGAGAGAAGGACACTTTGAGACATAGCACAGATCCCCTGGGACAGGAGATGTGGATTTCAAGCACAGGTGCCCTCCTCAGCTGTCGACCCTAATCAAAAAGGAACACACTTCTCCTTTTGTTTCTTTCACCCGACCCTCTGTCTATGTCTCAAGTTCATGGTGAAACAGGAATCTGAGGATGGTGGGGATCAAAAGAGTTAGTGGGGGTGGGAGAGGCAGTGGGCAGTCTTTGAGATGGAGACCGTATGTCCTTGAATAAGGCAGTTTTTGCTAGAGCTCTGGCTCTCAGCTTTCTGCTTTTGAAGACCTCTCTGGAAGTTGCCAACTCTGTGGGAATGGATTTCAGTAGAAAACCTGATTTCCTTTTATTGTTGTGTAGTTTGTTTTAAGAAGCAAAGGTTTTAAAAAGGATTGTTGCAAACTAAGAAATGACAAAATAATTAAAAGAAATTTTGACTAAACAAAAAACATCAAAATGTGAAGCTGTCTGTTACCCTCCCCCCAAGCATTCAGTGTTCTTCGACTTATACCCTGTCGGAATGTCAGTTTGGGAATCCTCAAAGGACTCGAATTGTGTTCTTTTAAAACTTTTCTTTTGCATTTTGGAAACCAAAAGTCGCCTAAAGGTGTAACATCAGGGCTGTAGGATGGAGAGGGTAAGGTTTCTCATGGAAATTCTCTTGGGACAGCCCTTAGAGAATGAGGAGGTGCCTTGGTGTGCTAAAGAAATTCCTTGGCACAACTTTCATGACATTTTGTCATTGAATGGTAGCTAGATTTAGGGACAGGGGGGTTGTCCCTCCCATGCCTGCAAAAGAACACACGTTTCTGGAAATAAATCAGGCAAACGAATTGGACACCTATTGGGAAAACCCAGAAATGGGCATGTGCAAATTTAAGTGCAAACTCCCCCTCCAGGCCCAGGCGCACAGATTTGGCCCAGGCTCATGGCATCACACAGGAGCTCTTTTTACTCTGCACCTGTTCAGCGGCAGGCAGAGGTGGGGTCTCTCGGAGCCTGCTCTGGGCCTACTTAGGGCCCATATGCACTTGGGCTCTTGGCCTCTTAGTCTGGGGGTTCCCCAGTTCTGCGTATGTGGGTGTTCTTTTCCACCTGGTTTTCCATGCCCAATTGTGGACCCCAATGCGGCTTTGGTGCGGCTTGGCACACATTCCAAAAATAGTGTGTGCCCCTTTGAGACTGTAGAACTGGAACCTTTTCTGGTCCTTCATAAAAACTCACTTGGATGACAAAACGTGCTTTGGCGTGAATTCTTTCAGCTTGCAAAGCAAAGACCCAAGGTATAAGCACCCACTCCAGAAACCCAATGTCATCAATTTAGTTTTCCATTTTCTTAAAGTTTCTTCCAACAAGTCCCCGCGATCACCCTGTGCCATTGGAGAGAATCCAGTCAGACTCCCTCAATGGAATCTTCCCCTTTCCCCGCTCAATTGGCATAACCTGAGCTGATCTTTCTACCTTGAATTGAACTGTCCCAGGAGATGTCCTAGGAAGTCATAGGTTTGATTGGAGCTTCTTGGAAGGCACCCAAACAAGACTAGGACAAATTATCAAGAGAACTTGTCTGCAGTCACCCACTGATTGCTGACATGCTTGACAAATAATACAAAACAAAAAACCCTGCCTATCCCTTTCAAATTGTCCTCCTTTATTGGAATTTTTAGCATTAGATTTTTCTGCTGTTTTAATATTACAATGTTATAAACCTCTTGATCCTTCTGAAATTAAACTCTTACGCTGTCCATATTTTTAATGTCTTAGTTCTTTTAACATCTTGATCACTTTCTATTTCCTGCCTAATGTTTATTGTTTATATATCCTTACTTGATCTCCTTAGCCTGTACAAACTTTTTGAGCTTTTATCAGAATGGTTTTGTCTATTTTAACATTGTGTATCTAATTTTTTTAGTTGGAACCCCCTCCCCCATTGTAAAGATTTAAATCTTATTTTCTAACTATCTTCTTACTCAGTACCTCTGCTTTTGTATCTTCCTGGTCTCAGAATGGAGGTGTAGGTGCATAGTCTGTTTACCTCTGAACTATTTACTTTAATTCTTTAACTCTTAACTGTTATACTGTTCACCACTACCTCTTCACTCTGTTATCATTGGCCATGTTAGGCATGCCTTAAACTTGTTTCAAAATAAAATTTAATCACTTTTTATCCTATGTTTGCTTCTAATCTTTGATTTCCTGTTTCTTAACATGTCTCACCGAGTCAGCCTATTAATAACTTTGCATTTGTTGTTGGAATCTTCTTTCAAAATTAATTTTTTTCTCCAGTAGTTTGCTTTTACAGTAGCAGGTGACAGGTTTGGCTACAGGAGCCCACAGAATCCTTTCCTGATGGAAAGACCTTTTTCTGTCAGGTGCCCTTTAAGGGTTTTCCTATCCCTTCAATATCAGTCCTCTAGGTAAATAAAATAAATGAGCAACAAACAACCACTGGGGAAAAAAAAAAGCAAAGAGACAAATAAGCAAAAGCCCCTACTCTGAGTAACTTTTGAGATAGTTAGGGTCAAAATCATCCCATGCCCTAAATAGTCTCCGCACTGCCTATGACGAGAGTCCCTGAAATGTTGCTTTTTCTTAAGGTTAATTTTTTTTTTTTAAAGAATCATGGTATGTGTTCACTAGCCCTTTTATCAAGAGCTGGACAATTTAGATATTCTGACATACACAACTAATATAGATGTGGAAGTCTGTGTCAAGGGGCAAGCATCATTTTTGAAGCAGTTGTCTAGATTGACAATTATAGCCCACCAAGGTCCTCCTGTAGCCTCCTCCTCACTTTTCATACAGAGTGACCTACCCTTTCCCCTCCCCACCCAATCGGGCCAGGAGTGAGTACTTAAACTTACTGAAAGCTAGGAATGGAAGTGAGAGTGAGATCCAGTAAGGGAGTCAGAGTGAGTCTGAAGGTGCGAGGATGGGTACAGTGCACTTTGAGAATCTGCTGGTGGGCAACTTCTATCATATTCTACAAATCATGCTGCACAGCAAGCACGCAGATGCACAAAGAGAAGACAGGGACTGGGTCCCCCAAGCCCCCCAGTATCCTGTGCTAATCCTCCTGGGGTTGATGCAGTCCCTGTTCTTTTGTGTTGAAACAAAACAACACTAAGTACCACACACAGAATAAACAAAAAGAGGGGAAGTGGGCTGGAGGTTCTTCTGAGGGAAGGGTTCCTGTCAAAGCCCCAGGGAGGTCCCAGTGGGGAAAAACAGGCTGTTTGAACTGCTTCATGTAACCAGTGGGGAGTATCTAGCATCTTTCTTGAAAAGGCCATGCTCAATCTGATTTATCCTCCTTCTCAGGGAGGTTATAGAAAGAGTCCTTTGCACATGAGCTCCTTTCTTGTTTCATACAAGATATAAAATGAGAGAATTTAATTGAGATGATCTCTGACATGTAAAATATACTGTCAGAGTTGCATTTCATAGAGATATTTAATGTATGCATTTAAATTAAAAAAACAACAACAACCAAGTCACTTGCTGCTAAGTCTGTTCTGGCTCCCGGCAGACTGTTGTGTGTCAGAGCAGCCTGTGCTCTGGGGAGTTTTCAATGGCTGACTTTGCAGTAGTCAAGCCTTTCTTCCAGCGTGCCTTTGGGTAAACTCACAACGGTCAGCTGCCCAGTAACAACCATTTGTGCCAAGTCAGGGGGGCCTTTAATATATACACTTTTGTGAAATCCTCTTGGAGGAGCCATTGAAAAAACAACCCAGTTTCACTAATTGCCCCTAAAACCAAAACACAAACAAACTCACTGCCATTGAGGTGGCAATGCCAACTCATAGCGAACCTGTGGGACAGGGTGGAACTGTCCCTGAGTTTCTGAGACTGTGAACTGTTTACTGAAGTAGAATAGGTTTGATTTTCTCAAGTACCTAAGGGAGGTGAGTCTCAGATACTTGCTTTCTTGGGCTTCGACTTGTGCTCTAGATCTCTCTAGAACAGAGATTCTCAACCTTCCTAATGCCCCGACTCTTTAATACAGTTCCTCATGTGTGGTGACCACCAACAATACAATTATTGTTGTTGCTGCTTCATAACTGTAATTTTGCTACTGTTATGAATTGTAATGTAAATATCTGATATGCAGGATGTATTTTCATTGTTACAAATTGAACATAATTAAAGCATGGTGATTAATCACCAAAACAATATGTAATTATCTATTGTGAAATATTTATTTCTAATTACAAATAAATGAAATTTTGTCTTGAAGCATGGTGTAGCATAGGTAACAGTCTTCACACTGCGTACTCGTATGTGGGCATATCTGCATGTGGGCGAACCTGCCTGAAGACGGATAGAGGAGTGGTGTCTCTGTTCTTAAGACCAGCCAGGGGGTTATGACCCACAGGTTGAGAACCGCTGCTCTAGAAGTTCCAACACTTTCTTCTTCTGTTCCTGTCTGGATAACAGCTACAATGGCACTGTTCACCAGGCAGGGAATTACTATTCCAGTGTCTTAGAGTGATGCTACTCAGTGTATGGTCTGAGACATCACCTAGGAGCTAGTTTAAAAATGTGCATCTTCAGGACCCAACCCAGGCCTATGGCATCAAAGTCTCTTGGGGGAGTTGAGCCCAGAAATCTGTCTTTAGCAAGGTCTCAGGGTGATTCTTAGGTAGCTCAAGTTTGAAAATTACACTCTCAGAGTACAAGGGCAATGTGCAGTGAAAGTCCTACTGGGAATGGATTACTAAATAAACAAGGTACCCAAGCCCTAGAGTTGAGTCTGATTTATAAAGAAGTTATATAGATCAGAGGACTGTAAATCATACGGGGGCAAACGGCCTGATCTTTCTCCCTCGAAGTAGCTGGTAGGCTTGAAACAACAACCTTGAAGTTAGCAGCCTGATGCTTAACCCACAGCGCCACCAAGGCTACAGAACAAGGTCCCCATGGGTTTAATTGTGCTTCTTTACTTATCTGTCTAGTGCACCATTTCCCATTGTTGCCTACCTCATTATAGGAGCGTGAGCACCACAGGTGCGCAAGTGAGCATTGCTAAGCAGACACATACCCTGCTGAGTGGTGAATCTGCCCCAGATTCAAGAACCAAGGAAAGTGAGAGAGGAAATGGTAGGTCTGTAACATGATGGGAAAGGTTCCCAAGTAAGATAGGTGCCCAGGTTCTGACTTCACACACATTGTCAGTAGCTCCTATTCTTTTTTACTATCAGCCAGATAGGCAGATTAGCTGAAGACCAACAAGAAAAAAACAAAACAGTTCAGGAAGACAATGTGGCTTCTGGAACGGGTCACTCCTGTGACTGATAGCCCTAGCTAGATTCTAGAGTCACCAGGTCTGGCCACCGCCAACCCTCAAGCTGCAAAAAGGAAGCTGAGATCCCTCCCCGGACACTGAGCTGACACTTCCTCTCCGGGGTTATCTTGTTTCTAGGGGCCATGTAGGGTCATGCCTGGAGCCCTGATGGCATCAGTGGTTAAGCGATGGGCTGCTACCTGCAAGGTCAGCAGTTTGAAACTACCAACTGCTCAGCAGGAAGACCAGGCTTTCTACTCCCCTACAGAGTTCCAGTGTCAGAAGCTTTCCGGAGCATTTCTGCCCTGTCACTGTGAGTGGCATCGACTTCACGGCAGTGACTTTTTTCCCTAAGGTCCTGTAGGTGGGGACCAGCTTCTCCACCTGCAATGCATACTCCAGATAGGAAAACCCGGGCCAATCTGTTCCTTTGATAAGAGAGGAATGAGCCCTTTAAAGCTCCAGTTCACCATAACACAAAGTAGGGTTGCTGTACCGAGTACTTCCCTACCAGTATCTGTTGAAAAGAAACCTTTTACTAAATAATATTTACTAGACTCCACTGACCAAATCATTTCTTCGAAGTAAGAAACAAGAGCAGGGCCATCGATCAAAGCAAGTGCCCCGGAGTGACTTTTAAAGGGCCACCTGCCTGATTATACCCAAGTGCGCTTCCTGCTCGGCTGCTTCCTCCGCGGGCCCTCAGGAGCCCCAAAGGGGTTCGGGATAAAACGCCAGCTTTCGTCGCGTGGCTTTATAATGCAGATAGAAGCCCGGGAAGGGAGGCTCTAAAACAGTCAAGGACAGTCCGGGCCACTGCTGTCTTCCGCCGTGGGACGGAGCTGCGGAGCCTTGCATTAGGCCACAAGCAGGAGAGGAGCAGGTGACAGGGCGGGGACACCCTTACCTCATGGTCACGGCCCAGCTCTTCCAGGAGGCTGAGACTCAGGCGGCGGAACTCGCCCGAAGCCGTCTTCCTCTGCCTTCAGCGCAGTCTGGAGAGGCTTATATACAGAGGCGGCGTCCGCTTGCTTCTTTCCCTGGGGTTCCCGTGATTGAAAATGAAACCGGAAAGTGAAACCGACGTGAAGTGGACCAGAATCCTTGCCGAAGGAAAACGGATCTGGGAAGAGAACCACACCCAGCAGGGCCCCAGCCCGGCGCGGTGAGTCACAGCAACCTCCCCCCTCGGTTGTCTTCATGTCCCAGGTCAGCTGACCTCCGGGGAGCGCAGCTCCGAGAAGGGCACCTTTGCTTCAACATTACCACGTTAGACCACCCTCAACACCCCTAGGGCCCACAGGACCCGGGAAGGAATAGTTCAAGTTCCAAGGACTTTCCCCTCTCAGTTTTGTTCGCTACTCAACCTGCCGTCCCTGCTGTCATACCTGGTACAAGCAGGCAAACCCAAATTCGTTTCTGAGTGAATTAACGGAGGAATGCCCATTCAGAAGCGTGGTTCCATTTGTATTGCTGTGAGACTTGGCGCAGAATATTGAAATGTTTCTATGTTGTGTGTGTCCCCACCTCCCACGTCCACCCCTGTGAAATGAGAGGAATACTATTACACACTCATAGAGCTACTGTGAGGATCAAATTAGTTATTATAGGAAATCTACTTACAATAAAGCCAGACACATCATATGCAAATGTTAGTTTGTGATATCATTAAAGACTAAATTATGAACCCAAGACAGCAGAAAGGAAATTTGCCACGTTTGTTCTCTCTAGAGTTTTTGTAACTTTGACACTTCCCATCATGGTCACTAACCTAGGCCAAGCAATTCCAACGTGTCTCACTTGTCCTGGTTTTCCTGAGCCCCACCAACATGTTCGATTCTTATCACCTTGGTATTCAGCATCACACATCGTGGTTTATAACTTTTTTTTCATGATAGGGGAAATGTACATTCCTTGCTTTTTTTTGATTCATGTCCATTGATAACAAAGGAGCTATATTATGCACAGCCCTAAGGGGAACAAGGAGCCCTGGTGGGGAAGGGGTTACTCTTGCACTTTGGGGCTGTGATTTGTTCCTCATGATTGGCAGTTGGAAACCATCAGCAGCCCTGCGGGAGAAAGGCTGGGCTGTCTATTGCAGTAAACAATGACAGTCTCCAAGACCCACAGGCCGGTGACTCTGAGTCAGCATGAACCCTCGCAGGCAGTGAGCTTGTATTGGTAATTTTTTTGTAAAGGGGGACAAAGGCAACAAGGAAATTCCAGGAAGCACAGAGGAAACATGTGCCCCGTCATAAAAGTTGATAAGTTGTAAAAATTAAGATTGTTGAGGCAGACTTGGAGAAAGTGTTATTTACCTTGGAGGCGTCTGGCCAGGGTTGAAGGTGCACATCTTGAGAATCCTTTCCCCCTTATTTAGAATATTTATCTTAGTGGAGAATCCTTACTTTGAGTTTCCATTGAAGAGTTACAAGTTCTAGAACCTAGGTGAACCCCAAATGAGAAACCTGAGCAGAAAAATCAACGTTGTTATCTACTTATAGGAATGCCTCTGAGCAACATAAGGAGCCCTGAAATAGGAAACTGGGATCATTGTTCTGTGCTTTGTTTTGAGATTTACTTTTAAGGAAACTAGCGTGAAGGAATATCTCAATGTTTTTCGCAAAGGTGTTTCCTGGGAAGAAGCAGAGAGAAAGCTTGCCCTTCATGTTCCTGTGTTTTAAGGTATCCAGAGATAGTAATCTATTTTCTAGATAGCTGGAGGAACAATGCCAGTCTATAAAGCTATTGTGGGGTTGAGGGTGATTGGGAAACTGGGTAAGTGTGATTGCAAAACAGAAACTGGAAAGGAAAACCAATTCTCTACTGGATACATTTCTATTTCTTGAAAAAAGGAACCATGCTTAGGGAGAGTTCTGATACCTGTTTGCTACAAATATATCATGTTCCCAGGTCCTAGAACATAGGGCCAGGACTTCTTCTGTCATAGCCTAGGCTAACAGAAGGATCTTGCTTAATGTTTTCAAATAAATCACACCTTGAGTAGCTACATCAACTACAAACCCAAACTCCAAACTCACTGCTGTGGAGTCAATGCTGACCCATAGCCACCCTCCTAGGGGTTCCTGAGACTAGAAAGCCCAGTCTTCCTTCTGAGGAGCTGCTGGTGGTTTTGAGCTGTTGACCATGTGGATCACAGCCCTATGCATTACCACTTACCCAACAGGGCTCCTACGGAGAGGTATAATGTACTGCTTATCACAGTGTGGGCTACGTCTAGCAGTATCAGCCTCCTTACTGAGAGTGCAAATTCTCAGGTGGCGTTCTAAATATACCTGGTCAGAAACTGTAGGAGGGGTAGGGACTAGGAATCTCTGTGTTAATAATTCATCAGATAATTTTGATGTATGCCAAAATTAGATCAGTCATATATTGAATGTAAGTGAAAATAGTTTTAGCTTCATAAATTACTCAAAATGCCTGTGGGAAAAAAGTCCTGATCTTTCTATTCCACTGCTCCACGAACTTTGTGAAGCCCTCTCATAAAACTCTATACTTTTTGCTTGAAATTTTAAAAATATAGACTGTTAGAACTTATTTTGGAGTTTAAGGAACCAGCCTTTCATGCAGTTCCATTCACTCAAGCATCAACAAATACGTAGTGTTTACTCTGTGGCCCTGGTGGTACTGTGGATGCAACCCCAAGGTCGGTGGTCCAAATACCTCAGCCGCTCCACAGGAGAAAGATGGACAGTCTTGAAAATCATCGGCAGTGGGCGTATTACGAACCAAGCAATGTGCAAGGCATTGGGTAAGAGCCTGTGAGAAAATTTGGATGATGGAGACAGAAGAGAGCAGAATTAGAGTCATAAAGCAAATGCTTTCTCTCTAGGGAGCTCTTACCTAAGATGTGAATGACAGAGGAACCAAGGATTCTGGGCTTCCAGATTCAATGGAGAGAATTTTCAGGACCTGTATGTATAGCAAAGCAGAAAATTCAGCCATTTGGCTCACGTTCTGTGAGTTGGGACTTCTCTGCCTCCCAGTTTCTGTCCCCTCACAATCAGTGAGCCAACCTTCCTGTCCTTTCTTCCTCTCTCTCTTCTTCTCTGAAGCGCAGAGGCCTCTTTGGGAGTTCTTTCTAAAGCCTCTGCCCTTATGGGTAGGGACCCCCTTAACTTTCCTGCCTTTCACCTTCAGAGATGCACATCGGCCGGGGCCTGAGCCAGCATTGTCCATTAGTATCCCTGCCTACTCTCAGACTGAAGAAAGAGGCTCAAGAAGGACCCCCGAGAGATGCCAACCCACAATGTCTGTGCTGAGACCTCCTGGTCAATCACTGGTGAGTCTTCTTAGGTCTATGACTAGCTTTTCCTTCTTAATCAGTGTTTCATTTCTCTTCAAGCCCTCCGGGCAATGGTGGATGGCCACAACATCGCAGCCTCTGGTACTGCTGAACAATGCCATGTTGTGCGGGGAATGCTCGCTTGCTTGTCTCTCTGTGGGGGGAGGTGCACCTTACTGAATGATTTTTGGAAGTCACATCAGAGCATTCTGACTTTGTATGGCATAGAGACAAATAAGGTGCAGGCAGACACTTGAGAAGCTAGTATTCGACTCAACAATGTTCTCAAAATGACTTGCAGCAATAACACCGCCCGCCGCCCCCCCCCCCACCGCCCCCCCAACCATTATTTCATGCCGTTTTTTCTTCATTCTTATTTCTGGTACATTTTCTTGACCTCTCCATTTGTGTGCCTTTTGCAATATTCAGTCTGGAGATATTGGCACATACAGTTAGACACTAATTCCAGGGTCTTTTAAAACCATTCTAGAGCTGTGTCCAGAAGACCCTTTATTCTCCTAATATTGCAGGATACGGTAGTAGACAACTTTTTTCAAATATAAAAATCAAGATAAAAACCTTTTATTGTGATTTGGGTGGAAGTTTATGGAAAAACTGGTTTTCTGTTCAAGAATTCATGTACATTTTGCTTTGTGACATTGACCGTAATCCCTGTAGCACATTCCTCACCTTTTCTTCCTGAATCTACGTCTGCACTCAGCCCTCTTTCCTATCCCTCCCTGTCTCCTGAGCTTTACTCTTGGACAAATGCTGCCTTTTTGATCTCATGTGGCTGATTGTTCTACGGAACTCCTACCTCCCAGGTGTCTTAGACCACTTTCCAGGCCTACCTTTTGGCTGAAAGTTGAATTCCAGTTCAACTGGAGAGACTTCAGTTCCTGAATTGAAGGGTGTTTAAGAACCATAGTCCTGGGGCTTCCACCAGGTGTTATCAGGCCTGGTATTTTATTAAGTTTTGTTCCACATTTCCCCCCACTCTATCCAGAATTTCCATTACCTTTTACAGTGTGGTCAGCAGGGGTAGTTAAGGGCCATTCCACTCTGGTTTCAGAGTCATGGAAGCCAGGATTCTTGGCCCATTCATTCTTTGGACTAACTGTGCACTTGACCCTTAAGTTTCCCCCCCTACTCTTTTTCGCTCTGCATGGGAAGAGACCAAGAGCTGCATCTGATGTGGCCACTTACAAGCTTTTAAGGCTCCAGTTGCTACTCACCAAAGTAAGATAAGGTTTTTGGTGACTCTGTTGTGCCAATTGACCTGAGTATCTCCTGAGATGATGGTCCTGATCCCTCAGGACAAGCAACTCATTCCCACATGGTGTTTGGTTATGGCTAAGAAGTTTTCCTAACTTTGCCCTCTGTATTGTTAGAACGGGAATCAAAGGAAAGCGGGCCCAGCGGGTGGGTTGTAATTAACTGGTGTCATTAGAGTTAGGGACCTGCCGGGGGGGTTTAGAATGGAATGAGAGTAAAGGGGGCAAGGTGAGGGGAGATTGAAAGACAGTAAAGCAAGAATAGGCGAAAGTAAGAAAGGAAGCGAGAGAGTGGAGAACAGGCAGAGGGACAGATGTGTGGCCATAAGAGAAAGTGAAGAAAGTTAGAGAGAGCGAACAAAGGAATCCCGTGTTAATAAACTTTTGGGAAAGAAATAAATTATTATGTGTAAAAAGAGCCCCCGCTCCCCCCACTCCATTGGCTGTGGCACCAGAACAGTGAAGAGAGGGGGAGAGGGGGGAGGGCTTCTGTGAGAGTCGTGAGAAGGTGAAGTGTCACACCATACAAGGTGGAGATGGAGAAGGGATGAGAGA